ATACTGGTTAAAATAAACAGCAGCTTTGGATTTTTTAGTAATATTTTGAATTTTTCGCAATACTTAGGGTTATTTATGGATAATTTGGGTAAAAGTAGGTAGCTCATTAGTATTCTATTTTGTGGCTATCAATCGGAGAAAAATCAGAGCCGAAACCTATACTCGCCAGGGCACAGGTGCCCCAGCGAGTAATAAAACGCAAGATTAGCTTTCTCCGCGGGCATCTCATGCATGGTTTGCCCGCAACCAAAGTCTGCCCGCCAATCTAAAAGCGATGCCTGCGGAGGAAGCCAACTTAAGATATTATATGAGTCTTATGAGCACATCTTTAATTACTTTTTAGTTAATTTTCTTGCGATTGTGAGGATTATTGAAGAAAAAATTTTGCGTGGTGTCATATTGCATGGGGATTGAATGTTGGGAAATCACAAGAGAAGTTTGTGAAACATAAAGGGAAAGCTGAGTTAATGACCCCATTATTACACTGAAATATCTACAGAATTATTTACATCTGACTAACTAATGAGTGCAACGTCACATGTTAGTATTTTTACACAAGTGAACATAACAAATTCTACACGTTGATTGGTCAAATTTGACGTAATAAGCTGTTATATTCACCTACAGGTGAAGATAACAGAAATTTTCAAAATGGCGGCTACCCGTTTTGTGGAAGTTTACTGACAACGAAAAAAGCGAAATTAAAATAAATTCAGTCTCAAAAAACACAAAAGCTTGTGTAAAAAAAATACTAAGGCTCGGTGATTATCGGGGAATATTCACCTCGACTTCGTCTCGGCGAATATTCCCCGATAATCACCTCGCCTTCGGCGAATACTAATTGTTAAATGTTCTTTTCTGCAAGAATGCATCAAAAAACTAAAATATTGCGGAAAGTATACAGATTGAGAACGACTAATTGGTTGGTCAAATCGCTTTATTACCCATTTTGAACCTTCGATACACATCTGCCAGTTTAAAATCAAGATTTAATTTCAAAGAATATATATAATGAGAGAAATACAAAATACAAACCTTCCATGGTCAGTAAACTGTGCAAAGTATCATTTATGTTATCGATGACTTTCTTCATTCCTGAGATGTTGTCTTCTAATCTTGTTTTGTCTGCTTTGAGTTTGGTTATGTCGCTTTTTAATTCTGTATCTTCGTTTTCTAGTTGAGTGACGTTGGTTTTTAGTCCAGTTTTAAGGTGAGTGATATCGCTTTCTAATCCTGCTTTGAGTTGACTAACGTCCTTTTCTAATTCCATTTTGAGATGAACGATGTCGTTTTTAAGTACCTTGTTTAGTTTTTAAAATATAAGACGAAACAAATTAACATCTATATATCTTATGTTCATGCATGCATAACTAAATGATAACAGTTAGATATTGAATGTATTTTCTTTTACAAGTTAAGCACAAAGTGTAGCGCTTGTTTCTTTTAAAGAAAAAAGCTGCATATTCATATAGACGTTTGTCTAAAGGGGTAAAAGGAATTTCAACCTGAACAGTTATAGATTTCTAACGTTAAAGTTGTAGATTATGGGCAGCTGCCGAGCTGTAGATTAGTGTCAGTGAGCTATATATATATATATATATATATATATATATATATATATATATATAGCTTGTCTTTTATATATATATATATATATATATATATATATATATATATATATATATATATATATATATATATATATATATATATATATATATATTTATAATATAGTCATCCACCGCATATGAGCTGTTCTGCAATCTGATTGGTTGAATTACTCGCCGTATATCAGCTCATATACGGCGAGTAGCGAAAAACAAGATGGCGGTCCAAAAACTACATGAGTTTTGCGAAGCAGAAAAAGGAAAATATTCGCTTTGAAAAACATAATAGTACAAGGAAAAACTCTCAAAAAAAATTGACAGGTTAGCAAAATACATTTATTACGTAGAAATTAGTTTAAATTCAAGTTTTTCAAAGAATTAATACCGAAACAACAGCGAAAAAACATGTTCATTGAGAATATAAATTGTTCAGAAAAGTTTGCAATGAACGACAAATGAATTTGCAGTCAACAAGCACTTACTATAGTACCAAACATCTGTATAATATATCTGAGCTTTCCTGTGAGATATAGAGGTTCTAAAACCATTTCTTTCACTTCGTCTTCGAGTTGTAAAACAAAAGTATTTCAAATTTTCAAGCGGTTTTTGGCCGAACAAATTGTCAACACATTGTAACAGTGAATAATTAATTACTGCTTCAGTTAATGGCTATATTAGACTATATTATAAAACAATTATACCATTCGCTCTCATCGTATATGGCTGATAGCCGACTCGGTGCTACGCACCTCGTCGGCTATCAGCTCATATACGACTCGAGCTCATGGTATAATTGTTAAATATATATGTATATGTATATGTATATGTATATGTATATATATATATATATATATATATATATATATATATATATATATATATATATATATATATATATATATATATATATATATATATATATATATATATATATATATATATATATATATATATATATATATATATATATATATACACACACACATATATATATATATATATATATATATATATATATATATATATATATATATATATATATATATATATATATATATATATATATATATATATATATATATATATATATATATATATATATATATATATATATATATATATATATATATATATATATATATATATATATATATATATATATATATATAAGCGCCCTGGTTCGGATGCTCCGATGAAGCATGACGTGATTCAATACCTCAGAATCAGATCCCCAGTGTTCCAAACCATAGTTTACATATTCTTTGATGATATCCAATCTTTCTGACGAGGAAATATCCCAGTGTCTTGAAACGTAAATTGAAGTAGATTAGTATATTTATTTAACGCTATCTCCTCAGACAACCTCTTTAAGCATTCTCCAAGACGCAAAGTGAAAGCGCGGTTAGTGACGAGGTCTTTAATCTCTTATCTCAGGATTTTATTCGACACCGTTAAATAAAATTAAAGGGATAAATTAAATTAAATGGATAGTAGTGTGATTTAAACCTTTTTCGACCTATTTCCCAATGAAAAGACATGAAAAAAAAACCAACTTTCAGTATACCTCTGTTCCTTGATTTCAGTGAAAATCCATGGTTTAATTAGAGCACCTCTGAAATAGAGATTTCAATATTTTTTCCTGTCGATTGTCTATCTCAAATACACCATGCAGTCATATACGGCAGCATTAACTATGAACTATATTGAGATTTAAGATACAGAAGAAAAAACTTTAAAAGAATCAATACATTACCTCGCTATCATGACACCTGAAACTCCAGTTTCTTGTCTGTGTCGTTCTACATCTTCAAATGAAAGGACATCTCCATTTCCTGCAGTGGACGGAGAAGAATATCAGAATGTCATCAGAGGTTAAGATTCGGGTTAGAATTAGATTTACGTTTAGGGTTGCAAGGATTTGGGGTTTAAATGCCAGTATAATCTCTTTGTATATAACCACAAAACCGTCTGTTTTGTGTTAAGATATTGTGAAACACAGACTAGTCTACCGGACATATGACACATTAAAATGGAATTATAGTGTTTTTGTGATATACACTGCTCTCTGCTCTATAATATCTGACAATCCTTGTGCAAGATATTGAACAATGGACTATCTTATGACAAAAAGTTATTGACGTGTTGCCCAAGTACCACCATCAGTATCCGGTTATTATCCGATAAACTACTACCCGGTACCATCCGGCACAGTTGTATCCAGCACATCCTTACAGTAGATGCCATGGATAGTTGGAGTTTCAAAACAAAGAAAAGACAATGGACCATTCCGTTCACAGAATCGTAATAAAAGTTCCAGTACTATCCGGTAAATATCCGGCAAATTTTTACCGGATACGGGATAGTACCGGATGTCTGTTTTGTCGGGTATTGGACCCCGGAATCCGGTTCCGCCACATCCCTAATGCCATCAAATACTTGTTTTGACATATATGTGACGTCATGCAAAGGTCGTATTTAAATTGAAGTTTTTTTATATACCTGTAGAAATCGACCCGAAATACCACAACCTGTATTAGTCTACGTTTACACTATACATGATAGCTTTCCGTAGCGGCGCCAAAACCCACCTATCCCATACGGAATATACACAACTTTTTCAGAAGCTGAGCGAACAAAAATCTCTCCGTTTTATTTAGGCTATGTTTACATTGTATCGGATCGGTTTTTGCTTCGTTCACGAAACGTTACGGCCCAAGTGTAAACAGCTTCCGCCCTCGCCCATCTAAATACAAAAATATTATAAGTGAGCAGGCTATACCCGCAAATAAGATTAGAATAGCAA